CGCCCCGCCCCGGACCCGACAGTAGTCCTAATGATGCTGCCGTGTGCGCCGTCCTCGACTCTGGGGACGACTTGCATGCCGAGACGAACAGCAGCAGCAGCAGCAGCAGTAGTAGCAGCAATGGCGAAAGCAGCAGCACTGGACCGGCGTCTGTTCAGATTTTACACTATCTGAGGACAAGTTTTGCAGTTTTGCATCTGTGTAGATATGCCCCGTCTATCTGCAGACTCCATCAGTATTGATCAGCCCCATCTGCGGAAACCATTTGTATGGATCAGTTTGGATAATATCACCACGGCCACAGCAGGGCCTACATCTACATAGTCCAGCTGTCATCTGCGTGTCTCCTGTAACGTGCTCGTGTTGCCACTACCAGCATCCAGTTTGTAGCTCGGACTGTACCGCCGCGCCCACACCGCGCATGCCATGCCGGCGTGCGTGCGGGTCGCCTCGCGATGAAAGAAGCGACAAATCGCAGTACATCACGCAACCGTCATATATACAGAAAAATTAAAGGAATCCAATTGTATTTGTGACAAAACAAATAACAAAATATGAATGTACTAGTTCTTGCCACGGACATCGAAGGTAGTCCACCCTGCTCACCTGTATGGTGCGGCCGATGGCGAGGAAGGGCGCCCGGTCAAGCGCGTTGGAGGTGACGAGGCGGTGCGAGACGGCGAGCAGGAGCAGGCACAGCGAGCACGCCAGCAGCAGGCCGAGCGCGCCGACGCGCTGCAGGGCGTGCGGCAGCACCAGCCTCCCCGGCCCGGGGCAGCACCAGCGGCCATCGTACCTGGAACACGAGGGCCAAATCATTAGCAGCGCACAAACAAAGGGGTCGTTAGTACAAATGACATTTAGAGGGGGGGTGCAAATATTATGGGGTATCAAAGGGATCAGGACCGTCATCGACCGTCATTGAAGGCCGTAGGTCCACAGGTCCATAATTGTAACCCCAGGCTACAAATATCATGGGGTCTCTATAGACTTCAATGATGTCCCTAATCCTTTTGGGACCCCATAGTATTTTCACCCCCAATAAAAGTCACGAATCGTTGGAACGACCGTAACAGAAAAAACAAGACAAACACTTGAAAGAAAGATAAGAGAACCACGGAAAACTGGTCAGAAATGTTTGAAACGTCCAACAAGCTAGCAGTATCGTGTGTTTTTCCCCCTTAACTGCATGCAGTGTCTGAATACATCATTGAGAATAAAACTGCGGTATAATATAGGCGTTAAGTTACTTGACTCGAATTCTTTGTCCACAAACACCAGCTCGAGCGACCTCCGCTCTGCAGCGCACGAGCCGGGACGGGAGCGCCTGTCAGGGTAGGCCAGCCCGCCGCGCACCGCTGCACCTCGGTGGCCCGCCCCGCGCCTGC